CTTGTGTGCACTCTGAGTGCAATGTGAAATGTGCTGCGTGGGAGCTGGGCACCCGAGGACGAGGGCCGGCCATAGGGGTTCGGCTCTTTCCTAGTTCAGCTTCAGAGGAAAAGACGGTTCATATTCAGACTTTGGGGAGAAAGAGAGTGCTGTGCCCGGGGGCTGACTCCAGGGGTGTGGGGCTCCCCTTCTGTTAGGACAAAGGCCCCCGGGATCCACTCCCCTGTCCACCGCTCCCCGGGTTGTGTCCGAGTGGACCCGGTGCTGCTTCTGCAGATAAACGAAGTTACTCTCACAGCTATGCCTCGAAAGCTCTTCCCTGTACCTCTCCACCGTCCATCACCACCCATCTATCCACCGCCTAGCCATCTGCCTAATACCCAGCTACAGTCTGTCTGTCATCTCTCTGTTACCAGCTATAATCCATCCATCTGTCACTTTTAACTTCCTGTGATCCATCTACTATCAGTCGTCAGTCACCTCACTCGCTCTGTTACACGCACTCACTGCCGCCGTGAAGCACAGACACCAACTGTTTGGAGACAGACAGGCTGTGGTTCCCCCAGTGCCCAAAGCCCTGCTGCCCCTGCCTCCCCCCCCCCCCCCCGGCCGTGTCCCAGGGGTGGGAGCTCACTAAGAGAAATCTTCCCAAGTTTTGTTATTTATAAAATATTGCACCAACAGTGCTCAAGGGTTCCCCTCTCTCCACATCCTTGCCTATACATGTTGTCTTTTATGTATATACTAGTGGCCTGGTGCATGAAATTTGTGCACATTAAAAGGGGATTAATTAGAAGAAATATTTTAATATTGCTATTTGCCCTTTCTCTATAATAGAAGTGTCAGAGATGAAAGAAAATTAGTAGAATGTATATGAAAATCTTCCTCCTGTCAGAGTCTGGGACATGCTGCAGGACCCAGAGTCAAGTCCCCGCACACCTGCAGCACCTCAAAATCACACGAGACCCAGACCCAGCCGGCCCCACCCCCATTGGGCGAGATTCAGACCTGGCTGTCCCCACCCTTATCAAGCCCCGCCGGGCGGGGGGGCACAGCCTCAGGTCCCCCAGTGCACTCTCAGGTCCCCTGGCCTGGCACTGGGGCGGGGGGCATGGCCTGAGGTCCCCAGTCAAGCCCTGCTAGGTGGGAGGCACGGCCTGAGGTTCCCTGCCAAACCCCACCAGGCAGGGGTAGGGGGGTGGTGTGGGCGTATCTCAGGTCCCTGCTGATTGCTCATTAAGGCTTACGGGAACTTGACCTCTGCTTGGGCACAACCATCTTGACCATTATGGTCAATTTGCATATTCCCTCTTTATTAGATAAGAACTTTAAACAATAGCCATCCGGACAGGTCTGAGGCGGTTTCTTGTTGTGGTTTTGACTTGCATTTCCTGATGATTAGCGGTGTTGAGCATCTGTTTGCCATTTCTGTGTCTTCCTTGGAGAAATGTCTATTTAAATCCTTAGCCTACTTTTTTACTCAGGTTATTTATTTTTATTTTTGGTGATTGAGTTCTGGAAGCTTTTCACATACTTTTGAAATTAATCTCTTATCAGATGTTGGTTTCCAAACGCTTTCTCCCATCTCAGAGGTTGCTTTTCCGTCTGCTGGGGGCCTCCCATTTGTTTGTTTTTGTTGCCTGTACTTGTGCTGTGATGTCTACAAAGTCAGTGCCAGGACCCCTGCCATGAGCTGTTCCCCGCTTCCTTCCGAAAGTGGTACAGTGTCCGGCTTCGGTTCTGAGTGGCGTTGGCGTGGAGCAGGGCGGTCCGCCCCTTCTGCGCCGGGTGCGGCTTTCTCCGCGCCGTTGGCTGAGAAGACCGGCCTTCCCTCGGCGTCCCCGGCTCCCTTTTGGAAGTTCACTGGGCCACGGCCTCGAGGGAAACAGTAGGAAGACCCTGAAAAATAAAAACAGAATAAAACCACCATGTGACCCGCCATCCTTCTGCTGGGTATTTATCCACAACAACAGAAACGAGGGCCTCCGGGGAGCTGGGTGAGTGAGCGAAGAAGGTGTATGTCCACGCAGTGGAACACTGTTTCGCCTTAAAAAGAAAGGACAGTCGGCAAGGTCCACGGGTGGACGTGAGGACCTCGGGACGTGAGCCAGTCATAGAGCGAGCACCGCACGCTGCCGCTGATGTCTCCGAGACCGCACGCTCACGGGAGGAGACCGTGAGGGGGTTGCCAGGTGCTGAGGAGACAGCAGGAGCCTGGAGAGCTGATGTCCACGTTGTGCACATGGTCCCATCTTTGGCCGTCGGGAATCCTTCCTCAGATTCTGGGCCCTTTGACACAGCCCCTCATTTTTGTGGGTGTAGCTTCCTCAACTTCCGACACCAGAAGCGTCTCCAGGCTCGTCTTGTCCGTCTCCTGCCCAGTCCCAGACCCGCCGGCCAAGGCGCCCGGCTGCTTGCGTGGGCGATGGTGTGAGACACAGGTCTGCACAGGGAGCTTGCGCGTTGCTATTGGGGTGCCATTGCTTCTCAACCCTCTCAGCTGACAGAGCGAGAGGCGTCTGTGCGCGTGCTACCCGCGTGCATACAGATACTTCATTAAGGGGGACGTGAGCTCGGGCTGATGCCTCAGCTCGGCCGCCTCACGCTGGGTCCTCCTGGGGGACATACAATTCCCAAGCACCGCCCAGAGCCACTGAGTCAGGACAGACAACGAACATCACGGAGTGTTTTTCTTGGTGTAATGTTGGCATTGTATCAGAATTATGACAATATTGTAAGTGTAAGTTTTACTGTTCATCACTCACCATTTGGGTAAGTATTAACCTTTGGGCAACTTTGTTTCCTGCCTCTGGTGTGAGCATTTCAGTTCCATGCGTGTGTGAACTAAGTGTGAAAAGTCTCACATGTGTCCATTCAGCTCTCAGGTCTCCGGTTTGAAGCTCTGAGTACAGAAACCAACGCTGTGGAAGCGTGAGACTCGGGCACGCGGTGCCCTCGCCGCACGCCTCACTCACTGCTGTCTTCTCTCCCGCGTCCCTGCAGGTCCCTCGCTGCCTCTGAGATGGCCCCGGCCCCCAGGATGCCCTCGGTGCTGCTCCTGCTGCTGCCCATCCTGAGTTCTGCAAGAGCCCAGGTCAACCCAGGTAACAGCGTCACTCAGCCGGGCCCGACGGGCAGGCAACGGGGTGGGGGAGGGGGGGTGTCACAGCAGGAGCAGAGGGGAACCCGCTCCCCACTGGGAGAAGCACGAGGAGACCGAGTAAAGAGGGGGTGGGGCCGCAGCCACGTGCTCTGCACAAATAGAACAGGAGCCGCTGGCTGGCGCAGGCTGCGTTTTCCTTGCAGCTCTGCAGTAGGTTCTCCTTCCTGCACGTGTGGCGTGCTTAGAAATACACGTTTCAGGAGGAGTCTTTCAGCCCCCCATGTTTTTATTACATATGTTTAAACTTTACATTGACATAGACAATGGTATCACTTGCCTGTTGCCACGGTGATGCTGCCTGGCCACCTGAGCAGGGGGTGACAGTCGGGCCTGGATGGACCGTTCTCTGAGTTCCTCTTGGTCCCCACGAACCTGGAGCCAGCTGGTACTGCCCGTCTCTGTGGCCTGGCTCTGAGGACCAGGTTGCGGGCTGTGCCCCGCAGCTGGTGTGGGTGCATCGCAGTGGAAACGGCTTGGCGGCCAGAGCAGACGCGGGAAAGTGTGGCACCGCCTCGGCCAGCCTGTCATGCGGCCCGGCCCGGGGTCAGAGGGCCAGGGCACGGAAACCATTCGGGGGTGCAAAGGATGGGGCTGCGTCCGCATTGGCCGCCGATGTAAACATAGGAAAGCAAACATGCTAGGTGCTCACCCCAGGTGGGGAAGCAGCCGCCCAGCCCTGTGCCATGGCCCGTGCGCCTCCTCACAGCGGGTGAGTTTTGCTGGCTGTGCACCTTCTGTCAGTGCCATCGGTGATGCTGAAGCACTCCCGTGTGCCTGGCTCTTCCGCCCGAAGGTGTCTGTGATGTTCGCCGTGTTGCGTGCAGTGGAGCCTGTCTTGCTGCATGCGTTGAGTATGGAGGTGTCCGGTCCACGTGGTGGAACAGGGCATTTCCGGTTCGGCCGTTGTAAGTAAAGCTCCTGTGATCGGGCCTTCCGTGGGGTATGCGCTCAGTTCTTTTGGGTGTAGACCTAACCGTGGAATTTCTGGGTTTTAGGTCACCCGTGACCATTTTTGCCACGGAGTTTTCCCAGATGTCTTTGCCTGTTCACCAGCTGTGCAGCGTGAGGCTTCTGCTCCATCTGCACTAGGACCTGAGAGCGTTTTCATTTTCTTTCCTTTTTATTGAATTTACTAGTGGCCCGGTGCACGAAATTCATGCACATTAAAAAGGGATTAATTAGAGGAAATATTTTAATACTGCTATTTGCCCTTTCTCTATAATAGAAGTGTCAGAGGTGAAAGAAAATTAGTAAAATGTATATGAAAATCTTCCTCCTGTCAGAGTCTGGGGCGCGCTGCGGGACCCAGAGTCAAGTCCCTGCTCATCCGCATGCACCTCGAAATCACGTGAGACCCAGACCCGGCTGGCCCCACCCCTATTGAGTGAGATCCAGACCCGGCCTGTCCCACCCCCCTCAAGCCCTGCCGGGCAGGGGGCGCAGCCTTAGGTTCCCCGGCCTGGTGCTGGGAAGGGGGCGCAGCCTCAAGTCCCCCAGTGCACCCTCAGGTCCCCCGACCCAGCACCAGGGCGGGGGACATGGCCTGAGGTCCCCTGGCCCAGCACCGGGGCGGGGGGCATGGCCTTAGGTCCCCGGGCCTGGTGCTGGCGCGGGGGGTGCGGCCTGAGGTCCCCTGGCCCACGCTGGGCTTGGGGCGCAGCCTGAGGTCTTCCACCGCAGCCTGGCACCATGCAGCCTCAGGTCCCTGCTGATTGCTTGTTACGGAACCCCGCCTCCGCTGTGGGCGCAGGCATCTTGTGACGGCGTAATGGAGTGAGGGTCAATTTGCATACCCCCTCTTTATTATAGAGGGTAGGGGTGACACTGGTTAAAAAGTCACACAGGTTTCAGGTGCACAATTCCACGACACATCGTCTGTACACTGTGCTGTGTGTTCAGCGCCCTAGTCAAATCTCTGCCATCTCCACTTACCCCCGTCCTCCTCTCCTCCCTCCCGCCCCCCAGAGCGCATTTTACGCTGTTCCCCTCGCGTAGCATGAGAGTCGCTTGTGAGAATGCTCACCCTTTCTCCTCGCAGAAATCCCACTTCCATGCCATAGGCTTTGTGCCACCAGGAGGTGTCATCGACGCACCTTAAACTCAAAGACTTGCTGGCGCGATAGAGCCAGTGCCCTGCGGCTGTCCCGCCCGAGCCAGTGCGGGCCTCCGGTCTGAGCGTGGACACCGTTCTCTCCGTCCTGCTCCCGCCCAGTGGGGTTCGGTGGCTCCTGCCACACAGACAAGCCTGCTGTAGTCATTGTGTCGTTGTCCCTGCTCTCCTCTCCTCTCCTCTCCAGGAAGAGCCCCTGTGAGTGACAGAGGGCAGTGTGCTTGCCGCTGGGCACACTCACGAGATGGTGGGGCAGGAGGGCTGTACAGCTGAAGCAAAGGAGCAGCCGCCGGTCCGAGGCCCGGCTGTGGCGGAGCAGGAGCATAACCCTGCAGCATTTCCCCGTTGCTAACGACTCTCAGCAGGAAAGAGACACAGGTCTCGACTGGAATGATCTGTGTAAGAACACGGAATATTGGTGTGTGTTGTGTGCATATGTGTGTGCATGTGTATGTATGTTTTGTGAGCGCATGCATGTTTGTTTGTGCGCACATGTGGGTACATGTGTGGTGTGCATTTGTATGTCCACAGGTGTGTGTGTGCGCGTGTGCGCATGTGTGCATGCACTTGTGTGTGTAGACTTGATATGGCCTGAGCAGAGCCCTGGGAAGGAGAGACCTCCTGGTTGAACTTCTCTCCAGTGAGTGGTGCAAGATGCTGCGGGTGGCTCTACGGTGTGTGCTGTTGGCCTGGTCTGCCTGCGGGTGGCTCTTCGGTGTGTGCTGTTGGCCTGGTCTGCCTGCGGGTGGCTCTTCGGTGTGTGCTGTTGGCCTGGTCTGCCTGCGGGTGGCTCTTCGGTGTGTGCTGTTGGCCTCGTCGGCCTGCGGTGGCTCCAGTGTCCATCCTGCCAGTGAAAGGATCTCTCCGTGGAACAACGGAAACGCATCTGCCCCTTCAGCGCCCTTGATTGTGCCAAGTAGAAAAAAGGGAATGCCCCGTTCCAGGAGAACCGCCTGGCATTCCACGAGCGCTTGGCGCATTCCTGGAGCCACTGGAGGTGTCAGCAACGTGCTCCTCCCACACCTCCTGAGCAGGGCGTGCTGAGTCCAGGTCCAAGGGGAGGACTGGGCCCGGAACATGAGGCAGCTCACTCCGGGTGCGCACGGGGCTCAGTGCAGAGCTGGGCTGCAACCCTCCAGCCAGCACCTTCCTGACCTCTGTGCTCACGCCTCCTGCAGAGCCAGCGGCAGCGCTCCCAGCACGGCCTCCAGGGTCTTCTTGCTGAGAGGTGGAGGGTGAGAGGGAGCGAGAGACGAGGGAACTGGCGAGGTCAGGGAAAGGAGAGCAACAGCTAGAACACGTCCCAGAGGTGCCCCAGGTAGCGAAGGTGGTGGCTGTCGCGAGGGGCACCAGGCAAAGGCACCTGGCGTGGCACCTGAAGCAGGAGCCACGTGATTCTTGGATCCTGGGCAGGTGACGGGAGTTTTCTGGTCAACAGCTTGCCTTCACCTGTGATAACCAGATGCTACCCCATGTTCTCCCTCCCAGGGTGCAGATTCCATTGTTTTTTAAAATTAGATCATTTTATTTTATTTTTAAAATTTTTAATAAATTTATACCCCCTCACACCCTCCACCTCTGGCAACTGACCATCGGTTCTCTGTTTCTAAGGGCTTAGTGTTTTGTGGTGTTGTTTTTAGATTCCACATTTAAGAGAAATCATACGGTATTTGTCTTTCTCTGACTTCTTTCATTTAGCATAATACCCACTAGGTCCATCCGTGCTGTCACCAATTGTTAGATTTCATCCTTCCTATGGTCTTGCAGTATTCCGTCGTGTAAAGGTACCGCAGCTGTTTAATCCAGTCATCTATTGGTGGGCACTTAGATTGTTTCCATCTCGTTGCTATTGTAAATATCGCTGCACTAACTCTGCAGATTGCTGTGGGTAGTACAAATATTTGAACAATATTGATTTTTCCACTCCATGAGCATGGAATATCTTTCCATTTCTTTGTGTCTTCTTCAATTTCTTTCATCCCTGTTTTGTAGTTTTTACCTCCTTGGTTAAATCTATTTGTAGGTGTTTTGATTCTTTTTGATACAATGTGAGTGGGCCGGTTTTCCTCCTTCCTCTCGCTGGTGGTTCTCATCAGCAGAAATGCAACAGCGTGTGTGGCCTTGCCCTGGGTCAGGCTGCGGGTCCCTCTGCCAGTCACATGTCCCCCGACCTGGGGGCAGGGTGTTCTGAGACTTCCACAGGCAGTCGGCCTCCTCCACCCGCTGTCCGCATTGTTGCCAACTTGGTTCTTCTTGTCGCTGAGGCGCACTCCACACAACGAGGAGGGTGTGTGATAACGGCGGCGTGAAGACAGGCCCTGGGACCTCCCCACGGCAACGGAAGGCGAGAGGTCTCGGTTCTAGTTCCAGCGCCATCACTATGCAGCTTTGCGACTTCAGGTGACTCTCTGGGCCTCACTTCGCTCACCTATAAAATGGGCAGAATAAGCTACTCTGCACTTCACAGGGAACCAGATGAGACAGTGGGGGTCAATGGGCTTTGGAAAGTCACATGCAGATATTGAGGGCTGGGATTTGTCACTTTTGGATTTGTGATTTGTGATTTTTTTTTTTTAGAGAGGAAGGGGAGGGAGAGAAACAGTGAGAGAGAAACATGGATAGGTTGCCTCCTGCATGCGCCCCACCTGGGGGATTGAAACCGAAATCTGCGTATGCGCCCTGATTGGGAATCAAACCCCCACCTTTCGTGTGCGGGATGACTCTCCAACCAACAGCCAGGGC